AGGAACCAGCGTCAGCGACAACTGTCCACAAAGCGATTACAATCATGAAACACCCACCTCCCATTATTTAGTATTTGTACATGTTTTTTAACAAATTGAATGCAATAACTACTCACCTTTTAGTCGCAGTGATGTAAAATAGCAATCTATGTGGAAGATTTGCGGGACGGTTCAACAGCAACAGAACGGCCATTGATTTCCGGTAGACAAATTTAAAGTTTTCCCATGATGCCATTTTCATACTCCTCAGGCTAGTAGTCAATTATCGACGGGTTTTTTCGCACGTTTGAAGAAGTAGAACGGGGTTTCCGACGAAAAAGAGTTATTAATAATAAATAGAGTCTCGCAAAAATAAGGAAACGCCAACAGTATCTGTTGATAATATAAAGTTAAACAACTTCCTGCTAAAATATGAATGTAAGAGTCATAAATTAGTGAGTAATTAAGATATAAAAAATATACAGGGGAGACTTTTGAACGTAAGGGTCCTTTGAACTCTTAACACACGTGTCATTGGCCATAAGGCTCGAAACACGGCCATTGCTGCTATGCAGCTATATATATATTTTTTAACGTTATTAACATTTAACAGCATTGACAATTGAAGGGCGGTGGTCGTCGCGTCGCGTCCTCTTCGATGTGGGACTAATAGCGAAGTACACAACGCGTGTAAAATACATTGTTTGTTCGAACACGTGCTGCGCAACGACCATCGTCCTTTAATGCCCATTCAATATTTGTATTTAATGGTAGTTGATCTTAATGTTCAGTACACACGTTTCTTAAAGGTTCTATACATTATGCATATGTAGATTTGAATGCAGTATGACTGGAAGTGTTCAGAATTACAAAATGTGATTATTATAATCACACAGTGACAGAAAATGTTGCACGGATGCCATAAAAACAAAATGAACGCCAGTTTGCTTGAATCTGTGTTTGAATCTCAGTGATCCTGCCACCAAGTCCTGTTCTTCTGCAAGAAAATATGACGTAGGCAAATAAACATAATTATGATACAGCATTTTAATTTTCATCTGTGCAAACCAGTTTCTGGCACGTATCTAAATATAGTGAAGTTGAGAACCAAAATAGCAACCAGTCAGGTATCAAGTAAAGAAAATAGATGTACATATGCAAGTAAATAGTTATTATTTTTGAATGTATCATATTTACTGACTCCGCTAAACATGTTTTTGTTTTTATTTTTATTACGGTTTTTGACTAGTTAATTATCCAGCAAGCGTTGGATCCCAATTTGTGTACTGCTGGCTTGGACTGGGTCGTCAGCGAAGAATAACCAAAGAATAAAAAATAAAATAACGTTAGCGTTCATATTGAGACCAGGGCCTTTCATGTTGAATTGAGAGAAAAGTAATGGCTATAGAACTCTTCTTTGATGAAGTTTAATTTTCCAATTAAACAAATAAGTTATTCCTGCGGGAGAATGAACACAAGTTTAAAGCGCGGTGGTCGTCGCGCAGCGTGTGTTCAAATTTCATGTAAATAAACAATGTATTTTACACGCGTTGTATACGTCGCTATGAGTCCCATATCGAACAGAACGCGGCGCGACGACCACGGCCCTTTAGTATTTACAAACATGGAATATAGAGTTGATACTTATCTTCGCAAGTGTGTAAACGAACCAATAGGAGATCGTTAATTCGGTCAAAAGCTTTGTTAATCAAAAAAAACATATCTATCTCGAGATAATTGTCTGCAGTATGTATATATTATAAATATTATAATAATTTTCACGAAAACCTGCCTGCTCTTCAATTTATATTTCTAACGGCGACTTTGTTTATAGCAGGGTAATTCCTCTCAATAATTTTCGATATCATCAAACGCCCTTTTTTAAAAGGTACAATTAAACTAACTGATAGGTACGTGTATTTGGTGTGTATTTTAGTGGCAATTGATTATTTATGGATATTTCTAGTGAAATAATTCAATACCAGGGGCTTGATTTGCCTTCATACATGCTATAGCATTGTCAATCTCAGTGATGCCAATATCATCCACAGCTACTGTCCTTAACCTGGCTAAGAAAGTAACCACCAGTCACGGACCCCTCATCTTGGTATAAATTTCGAAAAATAATTGAACCATTCAGGAAAATTGGGAGTTGCCTTAACTTTAGTCCTTAGTAGCGACCAAAGCAGTTACGACATTGTATCGTAAAACAACTTATCTTTTAGTAGTTTAATGAACGCATATCTATTATATTTCAACAAAAATAATCTTTAATTCTATACCTATGATTATGTTGTAAATTGGCTTGTAATATATAACTACTACACGCTTCACACATCTTTTGTATTTTTTTTTTTTTTTGGTTCTCGCACTACAATCATTATTGAACCATCATTTACACATGTTAGGCTCGATGTTTCATAGTTTTTAGCACCATAAACTACATTTAAAAGTTGTATAGAAGCTTCATTAATTTTGCCTTATTCAAGTGGAACTATTATAATTAGTGGTGATATCGAATACGGCCACATTATTTTCAAGATTTCATTTTACATGTAACCTACCATTTGCACCAGGCTGATTATTTGCACCTGCCTGTAAGTTAAACTTTACGTTGAAAGTTAGTAGGATCCGAATGTATCTGCAATTATATTAAATTAAAATGATTGGTTGGAACAGAATTATAGAAACATGCGATGAGTTAGTCCACGTCGCTACCAGTCCCGTCTCCACTACATCAACATCCTCAAACCATGGAAGGTACTCCGTTAGTACATTCCATGCTCAAACGAACAAGTATGTGACAAGAGCGTTTACAAATGACCAACGTGGGTAGTTATAGCAACATATTTCATAACTCGGCAATTTTTAAAATGTGTTTTTATTTTCACACTCTTTCAAGACATCATAGATGTATATATTCCTTTTACACATTGTTGCTATTTGACTTTCTTCATCATATTCATAGACACAGTGAACCCATTACGAGCACCTGTATTTCTACAAATTGCCGAGTCATTCTGCATTCCAGGTGGCGAAGTGTGATGGCCAATTAAAACGTTTATACAATTCACAACAGCCAATAGAAAATAGGAAGTGGAAAACAATACAACAATAGTAGTTGGGACCTATAAATAACGTTCTTTTCCGTGCCTCGTCCCTCACTCCACCCAGTCATTGGTCTTGTTTGTGTTGGATATCCTACTAAGGTGAGTTGAAATTGAAAATGTGTCGTATTAAGCTCAGAAAACTATTTTCAAGTTACAATCTAAAATCCTTACTGATTTGAATTTGTGCCATATTTATTTGTAATTGTTTGCAATGTCATTTTCAGATAATGCGTGTATATTGGTTACTTATGGTGGTGGTCGCCATGTCTATTGTGGTGGACGCATTTCCAAATGGGATCCCCAAAAATTGGAAGCAAAAAATGGGTTCCCAGGTATCCGGCAAAATTTTCAAAGGTAAACATGCAGGAGACAAACAAGCGTATGGTTATAAAACAGTAGCGGACAGTGGCGATACTGGAGCGGACAGTGGCGATACTGGAGCGGACAGTGGCGATACTGGAGCGGACAGTGGCGATACTGGAGCGGGCAGTGGCGATACTGGAGCGGGCAGTGGCGATACTGGAGCGGGCAGTGGCGATACTGGAGCGGGCAGTGGCGATTCTGGAGCGGACAGTGAAGACCAAGAAATTGAGATTACATCGTCTGCTGGTGATTGTCCAAGCAGACTGCAAAACGTGATAGGTGAGGAGTTAATTTGGTATTAATATGCATCGCGCGGTTTCGCTAAAGCCGGCCATTCATAACCGGCCCACGAACCCGTGCGTGATCGTGTTAGGAAAAGCTGTATTTAACAGCAGTTAGTAATTTGATTAGGCGCGCCAAGGTGCTGGCGCTACCAATCAGCATTGCTGTATCATACATTTGAACGTTTGGAGTCGTCACAGATCAATTAATCAATCACAGTTCAACAATTGCGGCGTGCAGGCTTTGCCCTAATTCACTACAGTCGAGAACAGAAAGGTCTATATTCGTTGACACTTTTCCAAAATGTTTTATTACAATGTTGAAAATTGCTTGTGTGCGATGGAATGTCTAAACATTTGGGCAAATCGTGTTTTATAAAAACTATCGAAACTGATAACGTATCGACTTGTCCGATCCGGTCTTCGTCGCAACAAACCACGGTTACTAGTTCTAGTAACCATGAACAAACGCATCATTTCCCTCAGATACAGCATTTAGCGCTTTCTTTTGATGGTCAGTAAGCTCGTTCATCGTTCGTTGATTTCTGTATTCCATTATTTTAAATTTACCAAGTATGTGTCGTTTATACGAGTTCTAATTGGGTAATGCAAATGAGCCCGAGTGAATCTTATAATCGCTTGAGGGCTTGCGACATTGTAAATTGTGGTGAAATCTGCCAAGGGTTAATGTTGAGGCTTCGGTCGAATAAATGGTCCTTGGCTGGCGAAGATGATAAATATGGTAACAAGTTATTTTTGATAGTTGCATTTCATTGGAAAGTGATCTTTTTCGCCCATTTTCCAATGAAAATAATCTACCACTTGTTTGCCATATAGCGATGACAAGTAGCCAGATATTGAAACGTGGGCTGTATCTGAAACTGCCAGTGACGAAACTGAATAATCGTTGGCGCAACGTTGATTGCCATTATATTAATATCATTTTTTTTTTTTTTTTTTTTTTTTTTGCAGAGGGCTGCTCCGCATACGATAAGTGTACGGATGATTGCGGTTCCTCGTACGATGGTGAATGTGACGATGGTGGTCTATCAAGCTTGTATTCCGTATGTGAATATGGTACTGACTGCTCGGATTGTGGGTCGCGATCGTATGTATGCTTGAACGAATGTGATTGGTCATATGATGGTGAATGCGATGATGGTGGTCCAGGCAGTCTCAATTCACTGTGTTCGGCTGGTACAGACTGCGGAGATTGTGGGCTGCGAATTGCATCAAGTCTGTGCACCAACGAATGTGAGCATGAACGAGACGGCGAATGCGACGATGGTGGGCCAGGTAACCAATATTCAATTTGTAGGTATAGCACCGACTGTGCTGACTGTGGAGTGCGACCTCTGCGGTGTACAAATACTTGCGTTTATGCGTGGGATGGTGAATGTGACGATGGTGGCTTCGGTAGCCTCTATGACATTTGTAGTTATGCCACTGACTGCGAAGACTGCGGGGCCCGTCCATAACTAGGGTAGTTTTGTTCCTAGACAATATAACCGCAACGAGATTACAATGGAGTTCCTTTGGGAAAATATAACTTGTTAATTGCTTGTACAATCTTTTTTCATTATTGATTATATTAAATCTATGGACTGAATGCAATGTACATCGTGACCTTTAATTTTGGTAGACACGTTCTCGTTTCTCTTCGAATTGTTCAGACGTTTTCGGCGTAATTTATTTTCAATTTTAATCCCCAATGTCTTTAAAAAGTAAGTTTTGTTTTATGCAATCAGTATTATCAAATGTGGCTCAAGGTTTGCTGAAGGATGAAAGTACACGTGGTGCGCAAGTGTGTAATTGCCAATCAAAAATATTCATTTTATTACCTGGTCATGATTCTCGGTACCTAGAATACACCCCCATAGTTTCACGCATTGTATAGCGTTGTTAAAAGTAGCCAGAACGGTTATTCTTCAGGGAAGAATTTAAAGGGTCCCTAAAAAAAAAAGCACGGACAGGTGCATGGTGAGAACTTTGTTCTAAGTGAACTGTAACTCGCACGTTATAAACCAGAATAGTCAAATGTTTTTAGGAGATGCTTCCGCAGTCGAAGGATAGGAACAATTGTGTTCCTATCACTAGTAAGAAAAAGTAAAGAACGCAAGTTCGAGTAAAGATGACAATTTTATGTGTGAACACAAAACGCGTTGCATGGAAGTTTGTACTACAGACTCGCAACATCGGGGCGGTGCAGGTTGCTTGACACAATTGGCTAAAGAATTTACAAAAAAATATTCATGAGCAATGAAAAACTCGTTTTTTAGTACAACTGTCTAAATTCATCCTGATGTAATAGAAAAACAGATGCAGACAGCAAACTGTTAAACTCGATTAGTTTTTTTTTCCTTTAACATGATTGTACGAAATTCGTGAAAACCTTAGACGCGTGTTTTCTTGTTCAGAAATCATACTTTGTATAATCTAGGAATGTTCTAACAGACTTAGTTCACACGTGAAAAGCAGCAACTGTGTTTAATAATGTTATTAGTTCACTTATTTTGTCAGTGTCATTTTTCTTTGAGATAACTTATTCCATTTGTATTATTGTAAAGCTGATACGTATTATATTGATCGACGGCAAGATACCTTTCAGTCTGGATTTGTAAATAGTTTTCTTCGCAATAATATTTTCATTTAGTGACTGAAATGTTCGTCTCCCAGTAAAATGAAAAAAAAATGACATTCATCATGCCAAAGCACGTTTGGAAAAAGTGATTTTTAAAAAAAATGTTGTTTCCAGTTGAGTCAAAATATATAAAAGGCTGAAATTGGCATTGGTTTGACTGTTGTAAGTAACTTGACATTGACTCGGTTTCGTGTCTGCATACATTGTCTAATAACCCAAATATAAAGTTGATTGCATTGTGCACGAACAACATTTATGTTCTAAATATGGTAAAAATCTGAATAACACGTTTTGCAGTAGTATAGGTTGCCAATTGTTGCCAAAACACTAACAGGGTAGCAACGGACAAAACTTTACATTAACTATGTAAATGGGGGGGGGGGAAACATCAATACCCAGAAGTGTTTAGAATCGTCGGCACTAGGACATTCTAAGCCAAAATGTCCGGGGTGGTTATCTACCTTTGATCGTGATATTCATTCAAATATTCTCAGTTTTCAATAATTTAAAATAAAAATGATCATTTAAAACAATTTGTTTTAATATATTTAAGATTTATTCATGCTATGGGTGGTTTTCTAAAGTTCTAGCAATCCCATATTACTATTTTAGTATCGGATACTGTTTAAATATACGTATTGTTTTGGTGTAGATTGCCGCACAAGCGTGTTATTTAAACTTGTACGTTGACGAACAATTGAGTGGTGAGCATAAACAAGTTGCATGCATCGGCCACTTTATGGCTCGAGCGACAGGAAACAGTTTTAGTACCCCCTTAGTATAGCTAATCCCGCGAATTGGAGTGCGTTAACAAGTGTAAATGCCACAGTTTTTGTTTTTTTCTATCGATGAACATGTACTGTATCCATAGTAATAAAGAACTCTGCGCTGCCCATAATTATGGGCGAAAGCTCAATTTGTGCGAATACATACACTGTAAATCTTGAAGAGCACTTTCATGTTTTTCATTAAAA